AATGCCCTCCAATTGCCACATCTAGCCAAACTGACCACACTCTGCTCAACTTACTTTCCCACAATGATTCATCCAGAGAAAGATGACTTCACACTAACTTTCCTTTTCTCCAAGCAGCGTAGGTGGAAAGAGGGATAGAAAGCAAACTTTGTTTCACGGTAAAAAACAACCACTGATCTGGCACCCATCAGGGAGTACATAACTTTCTTCTTTATTCTCGTAAATATCAGTTCTTTTCTTCCTTGTTAATTCCCCAAATTATGATCTATAAACTATTACCTAGAAACGCTCATTGGATCACGTGCTCACGTAGAATTAAGGACGCCAACAGTTCACGGTGTTCTAAGACAGAAGCTTCCTACCATCCGGAATGTGATTACAGGCATCTAGAAGTTTGATCTCTTACTAGACAGAAGCTCAGAGAAGAGAAGCGGGGTTCAGGCTTATGATGCAGAATTTAAGCCTCCTGAAGGCTGCTCGCACTTTAAGGGAATTAGCAATCCTCCTCGCACTGGGTTAAAAAACAACAAAAATCCTCCTTTAAAAAGAGTTGGTTCTTAAGAACAGAAGTAAGGAGTGGTCTGTTTTTTATAAAAGCAGCCTTGTTTGTGGTTTTGAATGACAGGTCCCTAAACTATAAGGTTTGGATACATAAGCCTCAACCCCCAACATTTCTTTGTAAGCCTTGATTGGAGTCAAGGCACTTTGATTACCTGAAGCAGAGAACTGAGGTAACCATCCAGTCATTCAAACCCAGAAAAAAACATGGGCTTGAAATGCCCCAATGTCCAATTAAAACGCTCGAAGCCCAAGTGTGACAAAAGTCTTTCCTTTTAAACTGTCTTAAGGGTAAAGCTAATGGAGTCGCTTCGCCATCAGAATATCTTTCAGTTTTACATGTTTAGTTAGAAGTTTCCAGGTCACTAACCACATTTTTTTCTCTAGGAAACGAAAATTCAGGAATTCCTTTGAACCCTGCACTCCAGCTCCAACAAAATGAGCCTAAGCCTCTTTCCTATTCTCTGTCGTGCATTCTCTACCAGAACAGCGAGATGTGTGTGGAATAGAGGCAGGCATTGTCTCTGGTTGAGACAGACCAGAGGGTAAACAAAAAATACCTACACGGAAGGTGGATGATGTTAATAATCGACAGCTCAAACTTCTCACAGTTTAGCAGCTCAGCTTCCAATAGTGAGTTAATGTTTCTTGAGATTCTATACACACCGTATGTGTGCACAGTCCTTAGGCAAAATTTTAAGAAAGGGCCAAAGGAGAAAAAAATACACTAGAAGAAAAATCCATGAGGAAATGGGAGAGGCACTGAGCAGGATGAAGTGGGGAGAGAGGGCTCAAAACCTTCAAAGACAAAGGCGAGAAGGCCAGTTTCTAATTATGCTCCCTTTGGTAGATGAAAGGCAGGCCACCCCTGGGGAACACAGGCTGGCAGGTCAAGTAGTGGAAGCTGCTCTCCCCTCTAACCTACCTAGACCCAGCTGGTTCTGCAGCCCCTTGTAGGCCCCAGGCTGCAGCTTTGGAATGCAAGGCGTGCCTAGACTGATCACATCCTGATTCTCAGCGTACTGGCTGACACTGCCCTGCGTTGTCTATGCTTGTATTTACTCAGACCTCATCCAGCCGCATACATAATAAATGCATTTATAAACCACCTGGGAGCCCAAACTCACAAGGCAGGGAAGGGAGAATAGTAGTGATCCCCATAGATAATGCTCGAAAGTGGATGCAGGGGTTAAAGTACAGGGGCTTAACCTCTGGCTTCCCTGGACATCAAAACAAGGGGCTATCATATGAGAATGGTACTTCTGTTTAAAATTGTTATTATTTTCCAGAGGGTACATAGACTAGGAAGAGAAAGAGACAGCAAGATAGAGAGGGAGACAGAAAAAGCACCTCTCCATGGGACATGATCACACTATAATCCTTTTTTCTCCATTTCTTTATTCTGCTGACACGGGGGCAGACCCATGTATCTCACATATTTTTCAAGCTGCCAGGCAGGGATTCGAACTGCATGGCTGTCCATGTGGAATCCGGCTGCCTTAACCACTAGGCCACAGAATGAGCTTGAGAATGGTAATTCTTTCTGTGAAATCTTTGTTGAAAAAGCTTTAGGATCATATTTTTAGTTATTATTTTTTCCATGAGTGAGAGAGACAGACAGTACAGTCCCTCTCAGAGTCAGCCAGCCCTGAGCACAGGCACACACACCGTGCACATTCAAGGAGGACTCTGGGTGAGAACCCACACGTTTTCCATGCAGGTCACCCTCAAGGACCTGCTGTGTCACTGTCCGGGGCCCCAGTACCTCTGTAGGAAATTTTTCAGCAACCCAATTAGGTAGCCAAAGCCACAATAGAGACCTTGTCGCATTTTTTAAAACTGTCTTTGTAATGTTCAAAAATAACCCTTTAGATCAAGGGTCAGTGAACTTTCTATAAAGGACCAGAGAGTGAATATCTGTGACTTTGCAAGCCATGATCTGTCACAGTTTTAAAACTCCGGTTGTAACAGAAAATAGCGACAAGAAAATACATAAGTACGTGAGTGTAGCCATGTTCCAATGACATCTGAATGTCACGTCATTTTCATTTGTCATTTTATTTTTTTAATTTTTAACCATTTTTAACCTGTGGGCCATACAAAACAGGCAGCTGGCTAGATCTGGCCAGGAGCCCATAGTTCTCTGCGCCCGGACACGGATAACCGATGCACATCGCTGCTGTCACAGCAACTAACCGGCGCAGAGTACAGGGAAGCGAGCACAGGGATGGAGGCAGTATTACGGAATGGCTTTCATCACCTTTCCTATGTTCCGTAGCTCATGAAGCTTTGACGTCTTACAAATCTTGCTGGCTGGTTGAGACTGGTCCCCGCAAGGCTAGCCAATGCTTGAGACAGCAAAGTACTCTACCTAGAAATAAACCTTTCATATGTAAACCAACCTCCACTTTAACTGTCAGACACCAAATCAGCACTTCTCCAGTCCCAAATCATCCCAAAGTCAGGTACCAGGCCAGCAGAGGCTACCCCAGCGAGTCCTAACTTGCCAGTCCTAAACCCTTTACCTCACCTTGTCTTGCTGTCCCTGTGGAGACTCAGCAAAGACCAGGGCCTAGACTTTCTTTGCTCCTGCTTCTGCCTCCTGGATGGCATGGGTGCCTTTCCTGTGGCCCTTCGCAGCGTGCATTTCCCCTTCCCTGGGGAAATGTAATAATGGAAGTGTCCCATTGGCATTGGCCTCTCTGTCACCAGTTACGCCCATAAATTAACAACCCGTGGGTCCAAAGGAGACAGTAGCGCCTTACTATTCTAAGTGGGAGCCCAGCACCAGCAACTTCAGTATCACCCGGGCCCCTCCCCAGAACATCAGGATCAAAATTTGCACGTAAACAAGATCCCCAGGTGATGTGCAGTGACACTGCAGTCCGAGATGTCATGGTGTCATGGTGGTTTAAAGCTTGGGCTCTGGAATTAGGTCTAGTTCAAATCTTCGTACCTCTCGTTAGCCACATGACCTTGGACGCATGAATGGTGACTATTATAATCATCCTTTGGTATCTGTGTGGGATTATTTCCAGGACCCTGCAGATTCCAAAATCCAAAGATGCTCAGGTCTTTATAAATTAGGTTGTTGGGAAAGTCATGACGTATTTGTCTGTGCAAAAATGTGTCATGTCTTTAAAATGATGTAGTATTTGCATATAACTACTCACATCCCCCTGTATATTTTTAAAAATTTCTAGAATACTTCTAATACCTAATACAATCAGAATGCTATGTAAATAGTTGTTAAAAAAAAAAAAAAGAAAAAAAACTTAAAAAAAAAAAAAAAGAAAGAAATTAAGTTTTTGCTATAGGGCCATATGCTCTGGCCAGAGAAGACAGAAAGAGGGAGGGAAGCAAGAAATTATCCTCCCCCGCAGGGGGAATGGCCACTCCACAGTCCTTTCTCCTCCATTCTCCTCCTGGGACGTTGGGCATGCACACACACCCAGCGTGTTTTTCAAGCTGTCGGGTCCAGCACTCAAACTGTTCAGTCAGCCATGTGGGATCCAGCTGCCCCAATCACCATGCCACCAGCTGGCCCTACACTGTATTTTTCACTTATATTATATATGTGCATATATATGTATTTTTTTAAAATATTTTTGACCCAAAAGTTAACTCAATCTGCAGATGTGGAGCCCATGGATTTGGAACTGACTATATAGATCTGTTTCCGCACTTAAAAAGTGAGGATAGGGACTAGCAGATGGTGTAATGGTTATGTCGCTGGACTCTCACATAGTCGGCCACGGTTCAAGTCCCAGACCCAGCAATTTGACACTCGCACCAGGCCTGAGTGTCCAAAATCCAGAGAGGAAAATGGAGAAGGGATTGAGGTGTGGCCATTACCACTGGGGGCTGATTTCTCACTTTCTGTCTGTCTAGTGAGTGCACATGCCCTATTGCAAAAATCTCTCTCTAAAAAAAAGTAGGGGGACCAGCAGTTAGTGTAATGGCTATGTCACTGAACTCCCACGTAGCTGACTGCGATTCGAGTCCCGGAGCTGGTGGCTTGCTTTCTCACTTTCCCTCTCTCTTTATCTCTGTCTCTTTCTGGTCAAATTAAAAAATAATAATAATAAGTGTCCAGCAGGAGACATGATGGTTAAGGATGCTGGCCTCCCCATGGCTGACTGCGGTCCTTTTTCTGGGGGGGCACCATCCCCTATCCCCCCCCCCAAAAAAAAAATCCCAAAAAAAAAAAAAAAAAAGTAGAGAATAACATAATCTAAACACTTAGAAAGTGTCTGGCAAATACGATTTGGTAAATGCTATTTTTTCCTTTTTAGACAATAAATGCCCCTGCACAGGCTCCTAGAAGAAATTTCCTCAAGAATTAGGCACAGTTTTGGTCCCAGTTCCTCGGGCTGAACTACAGTGAGGACAGCCTGCCCACCCAACAATCCCCTTGTAAAAGAACAGACAGACGCCACAACTCCTGGCCGCAGAGTGTAAAATATATTGATGGTCGTAAAGGGACAACTTGTTAACATTTCAGGTCTGCTGAGTTGACGCGCAGCACATATACATGCTCTGTGTTTAGAAACCATGTCATTAAGTTTGCAAAGACATCTCTATTTTGAACACGGTGTTTTGTTTTTTCATTAGCACAAGTCACTACTCTACAGTTTCTCCTAGAGTAAATAAATATAATGGCTGTTTGCAGAGCAACTACGGACTCATTTAGATGTTGAACAAGGTGGACTATTTCACAGATCAACCACTGAGTTAAAAGCGAGGTGTTTTTTCATTCGTTTTGTTCACTGCTGTACCTGGGGATGGGTGGTAACTTTTCTAATGTACTCTTGGTTTACAGCGTAGTCACCAACAGACTCCAGAAGGTAATAAAAAATAACTGCTAAAAAATTAAATTGCAATTATGCCGTGGGTTTTCCTAAGACCCTTAAAGTCAGCTCATTTAGATTTACAACAGAAAAAAAAAAAAAAAAAAAGAAAAAAATCGGCATCATGGAAAACTAGGTAACCAATAAAACCAAAAACCTACCAAAAAATACATCCATAGAACACAGTGGTCAACTGTAAACAGCTCAGAAGGGCAAAGAAAACAAAAAGTCCTTCCAGTGTTAAAGCAGTCCAGTAACAAACTCTGCTTCTTTGTTTTTTTTTTTTGTTTTATTTTTGTTTTTTTTTCCCCCCTAGTGGCTATTTTCCTACCACAGTGTTGAGCTTCATTATTATATTAAATAACTTAATATGGGTACAAAGGAGTTTGCTAACCAGCAGCCAACTCAAAACTTTGTAGGAAGAGGGAGGAGAGGAATTTACAACACAGCACGCACTAACGGGAATGAAGTCCGCAGTCAGCCAGCTCACCCCTCCCTGGCCATACTGATTGGGCTGTTGGGGATCTAAACGAAGGGGATTTCCCCTCCCCTCTCTCCCTTTTTCATTTAAGTTAACAAAGAAACACGGGCTTCCTAAGAGCCAGCACTCAGCTGGGTAAGTCCCATTAGCAGCAAATGTTCAACCAAATAAAAAACACACACACAAAAGAAAACTCCGTCCAGGTGCAGAGCTATGATTCACATGGAAATTCCAGGAGATGAATCATGTGCAGAGCCGGGAGCTTCAGAGGATTCTTTCTCAAGTGTCTTCAGTGAACATTTCAGTCTCACAAATGCTGAGTCCATCTGTCGGCTGGGGAAACCGAGGTCCCCGGGAATCTGCTCTTGAGAGAGCCTGGTAGCTTTGCCGGACCGGAGCACGCCAATGACTGCGGGGTCTTCGTGATGTTTCATGGTACCGGATGCCAGAAAACACGGGCCAGCCCCTCAAGGATCCGCATGATGCAGCAATAGTTGCAGCAGCAGCAGCAGCAGTCAGCTCCCATGTTAAACCCTGCCTAAGAGGCTCGACCTGGGTAAGAAAGGAAACCACCTAAGAATGTGGCAGACTCGGCACTGGATGAAATGCCCCGCCTAATGTTAATAGAAATTTATCTGGCCTATGTTTTCAGTTTCATTTTACACACGTAACACCAGGAAGGAAAAAAGATCAGGCTAGGACGTTCTTCTGGTTCTTTGGGAAAATTACTAGTCACTTCAAACAAGTATTTACTAGTAGAGATGGCAAAGGCTTTGTTGTAGATAAACCTGTGTCTTGACTGGCTTTACATTTAAACGAAAGCAAGCCCCAAACAAAGATCCTTGACAGAAAGCTTTTAGATAACTGCAAGTGTTATCACAGAAGGGTTTACTGGGTAGATAGAAGCATCTTCAGGAACACATTTTGTGACTGTTGGAAGTATTTAAATAATAGTGGATAAGAAAAGCACCTGCTCTGAGAGGTGTATTTGTCATTGCCATCAGTGAATGGCTCTAGGGCTAGCGGGATAAAACACCTACGTAAAAAGCTAACATATATATAATTTTCAGGTAGGTATTATTATTCTGCTTAATGTGAGTATCCACTTAACCTATGTAGTTTTGCAACTAATAAGAGGCCATTTTCTCCTCTTTATCCTTTATGTGGTTGCCAAGCGTTGGCCAACGCTTGCCACTAACTCAGATGTCATTCAACAGCATTGCAGGGGCGTGGGCTGGAGAGCAAAGGAGAGCAAGATACTGTCCAGGGTTGGGGCGGACAGAACAGGGAGGACCCTATGCTTACTTGCAAGGGCTTGCACAGTAATAAGGAATAAAACCACACATGACACAGCCTGTAGTTGGTAACAGAGAGGACCACTGCCTTTTGGGTGTATAAATGCAGGGAGTTCTCTTTCTGGGGAGACATGGGCCAGGGATGTGGGAGGTTTTGGAGCTAGGCCTCCAGGAGAGAGAGGAGATGGAGAAGGAAGTACATGATTAAACACAGACATGAAAGGGCTTCTTCTTTAAGGCCCCTTAAAATGCTTTTAACAGAGAAACTAGCTTTCATACTAAATATATATAGTTGAATATATCTTTGCTATGTGAATATACACATTTCCTTATATACCACTCATTTTATTTGTGTAATTGTTCATCTCTCCATTAATTCTTATTAGAAGCACCACTAGTGAGTACTTTTTTAAAAAAATATTTAACTTTATTTCATTTATTTAAGTTTGAACAGAGAGGAAGAGAGAGAGAGAGAAAAAAAACATGAGAAAGCAAGCTGCCAGTTCCAGGACTCAAACCGTAGTCAGCCATGTGGGAGTCCAGCGCCCTTAACCACCACACCACCTGGCAGCCCTAAGTGAGTACTTCTGAGTTGAGAACAATTGCAGATGGATTCATAGAGCTGGATATAAATTTAAGTCAATCCAACCCCCCTTACACCTCAGATTTCTAACTGAATTCCTTGGCCGCATCTTAACCAATCAAATGCCAAGTGTTGTGAACCGTGTGTACAGTACGTGCACCTAAGGGAAGGAGGTGTATGATTCAGTCTTTAGCTTTCACTATCAAACTTCTGACTTACGAATCTTTCCCACTTAACCCCTAATCAATAGGGAGATGCCATAAAAGAGTAACACATAGGAAAGCAGTGCAGGTAAGTCCGGATTATTTCAAAATGCCTGTGTGCCACAGGAAATACAGGTACCAGGTATCATTACCAGGCATCATTTATGTGGAGCCAATCTGTCTGCTGACCCATTTTTAAACATCGAAGTAACCCTCGCTAAGCTATATCCAGGAGATTCACCAAACTTAATGTTTTTAAAAACTGAAAGGGGGCATTTAAAAGGAGAAATAATAGAAGTTAAAATTAATCTAAAAAAGATACGTTACAAGGCCAACTCCAAATCTGTTATCTAGAACACAGCCACTTTGTATCTCTGGTATAAAAACCATGAAAGGTGGGCCAGCCCATGGCCTTGTGGTTAGGAAGGCTGAATCCCACAGGCCAACTATGCCAGGCAAGTCTTAGACCTGGTGGCTTGAGAAACACAACAGTCATGTGTGTGTGCATTCCAAAAATCCCGAAAGGAGGAAGAGACGGAGAAGAGTTCTCAGTGTGGCCATTCCCCATGGGAAGCACTTTCTCGCTTTCTGTCTCTGTCTCCCTCCAGTGAGCACACATGCCCTCTAGCAAATTAAAAAAAAAAAAAGGGCAATAAAACCAAATGATGGCAATGAGAATTCTTTTTTTTTTTTTTTTGAGAGGTTTTTGCTATAGGGCGCATGCGCTCGCCAGACAGACAAAGAGAGACAGAGAGACAGAAAGCAAGAAATCACCCCCCAGGGGGGATGGCCACACCGCAATCCCTTCTCCTCCATTCTCCTCTTGGGATATTGGGCACGCACGTACACACGCCCGGCTTGAGTTTTAAGCCACCGAGTCCGGGACGTGAACTGCGGTCAACTACGTGGGAGTCCAGTGACACAGCCATTATGCTAACTGCTGGTCCCTGGCAATGAGAATTCTAAGCTGCAAAGATTAGGCTAACAGGAGAAAGGGTACAGAGGACTTGGGGCAAGGGGGACAGGGACTCCGCATAGAAAGAACAGGGGTTTCCTCTGGACTGGGGCAGTGATAAGAAGCCAGGAGACGCACCTTAATGACTTCCATCTGTCTTTCTCTACATGGTTTTCAGGTCCTTCACTCTCGTAGGAGGCCAAGTAGAGAGCTACAATTAATGAAAAGAAAGCAAGCATTAACAGTGAAGCCCTCCTCTGCTGCATTCTCTACCACCACCCACCCCTTGTGCACCTGCAGCAAACCCTACGGCAAAACACTCTTTAAAATACCAACTTATGACTGAGATGCTTCCTTGCTTCATGAAGAACACAGTTTATCACTTTGTCTCTGATTGGCCACTTCAAGAAAAACCAAGAGCCCAAAGGCACTTAAATAATAAAGACTTTATGATGCAAGAAAACTTGCAAAATACAAGCCACATGATGCTGTCATTCACTCTGATTTATGTTCTTTCCCCAGAAAGGGATGGGGATCCTCTCTTGGTAGCCCAGGTTTTTAAAATAACCCTATGGTAGGTAAAAACGCTAGGTTTTCTAGACTGGTTTTCCATCCTTCTAATACTTTTTCTTCTTTTTAAAATTAGAAAGTATATTCAGCCCAAAATGTAAAAGGCTGTGGTTAATCATGATCTATAGAGATTAAAAACCAGAGTCCCCTCTCAAAAAGGTATTGTAATATTAATTCAAAATCATTCCAGCTGCACTGATGCTAAGATACAACTGCAGGTTGGGACCACATGGGTGGCTCAGGTTCGATTCCCTGTGGCTGCACCTGCTTGTAATCCCAGCAACCTAGGGAGGCTGGAGCAGGAGGAACATGGTGAGAAACTATTCCCTGGCAAAAAAAAAATTTTTTTTAGATGTTCTTTAGTCATTACTGGAAACATTATTAATCTACTTTGAGAAATTGTTCATCTAAGTGCTGTCAATTCCTATAATGTTAGGATATAACAAGTAATAAATTCCCAAGTCTTTTACAAATTCATTCAGGTTAATTTTTTTCAGCACATATTCAATCATATTTTCTGCATCAAATTCCCTAATGTTTTAACAGTTCTAGACTCTCCACTACTTTTTTGAACAGCAGGGAGTAGCAATGGACTGTTTGGGGTTTTCTTCACCAAAATTACCTTGACTATCAACATACCACAAAATATCTTTTTCTCCACTGAAAGAAACCCAACCAGGGGGGAAAAAAACAAAACAAAACAAAAACCTTCAATAACTTTTCATTTATGCTCAAAGTATTGCAGATCTGGTATTATTTAAAAAAAAAGTTTAAACACAGAAATACATTACTGCTGGGTGAATACTGTGTAAAAATATTTCAGAGATATACCATAATATTCTCTGTACAACAAAAACTTTTAAGATGAAATAAATAAGAGGACTGGCCTATGCTATATGGGAACTGAGAACATGCATTGTATACATTATCTCATATAGAGATTTTGGGGATACTAAAAACAGCTCCGACGGAGTGGTCTTACCATCCTCACTGAAGACTGGTACCGTGAGCAGATACTGCAGGATCTTCCGGTCCCTCTCAAATGGACACTCCACTTGTTTCCAAGTCATAAATTCACTCACTTGTTTGGCCAATTCCCAAAATTTCTAGAAGAAAATCAAAGAAAAGGATTTAAAGGCAATTATCAAAAATTATGCACTTAGAAGAAGCAATTTCAGTTCAAACATTCCCTTCTGATTTTTAATCTGAATTATATATTTTTCTTAATTAATAAAAACTATATTTGCCAGATAGAGGTAAAAATTTACTCAAGTTCTCTCTCAGGAGGGACAGTGAACACAAAGATCATCCTGGGGAACACAAGGACCCGCCAGCCCAGAGAGGATGCTGAACTGCCCCCACCAAACTCCACGTACATACTACTTCAGGAGCCAGTCAGGACATTCTCCCCAACTGACTGGCGGGACCACATTCCCTCTCCCACTCCCACTTCCCCAGGACACAAGGAGTGGTCCCCTGCTTCCTCTGTTGCCTGTTGCCTTCTATAGCATGACTTCTCCAGACTTTCTGGAATAGTAAGTTTAAGTAGAAGAGTTGGGAGGAATGGCTGACTAAAAAGAAGATGCCAGGAATTTCCCTCTGGGAGGGAGAAGAGAATGGGTGTCACTTGCCAACTTTACAGCCTCAGGGCTGGATCGCACACACTAGCGTGGGTGGCTCCTGCTATGCCCCAGCCTGGTCCATTCTATCCTCTCCCTCCAGCTGTGCAAATGTACCCAGGCCATTGGACCATGCAGCCTGCACTACTAGAAGACATGCAATGTCTCTTATCATGAGGCAAATGAATATCGAAACCACACTGAGATATCCTCTAACCCCAGTCAGAATGGCTATGATGAAAAAACAAAAACAACAGAGTAACAAGTGCTGACAAGGTTGTGCAGAAAAGGGACTCTTATACACTGTTGGTGGGAATATAAATTAATACAGACGCTGTTGAGAACAGTATGGAAGTTCCTAAAAAAATCTAAACAAATTACCATATGACATAGTCATCCTCCTCTTGTGTCTATACCCCAAGGCCAAGAAATTACTTAGTCAGAGAGACACCTGCACATCCGTGTTTATTGCCACATTATTTTTTTCTTTTTTCCATTTATTTATTTATTTTTACATATTTCCACAAACACCTACTTTACATTTTATTGCCACATTATTCCCAATGGCTGTCATGGAATGAATCTAAGAGCCCAACAACCAATGAATGGATAGAGAAAATATAGCACTATATACACAAATGGAATACTACTCCATCATAAAGAACAATAAAATCCTGCCATTTGGCACCAAGTGGATAATCCTAGAAAGAGATAATGCTAAGTGAAATAAGCCAGACCACAAAAAACAAATGCCAAATATTCCTGACAGATATAGTCTAAGTGTCCACCCTCTATGGTAGAAACTGAAGGAGATGAAAGCACAGAAATAGAGACAGTAACGTTAACTACCCGGAGAAGCCTAGAGTAGGGTAATAGAGTTCACTAGAAAATGTATAATGGACACAAAAATGCATGTAAATAAGGGGAAGAGGTTATGGGATGGTGTACTGCCACAGTAAAAAGTATGGGCAATTTAATACATATTCGCAAAAAAAAAAACACCTAGTAGAACTATGAGCCAATGTGTGCAACGTAATGTAATATTCAATGCAGAAGATGACTATGGGTACATCCTTGATTTGATTATTACACATTGTATGCATGCCTTAAAAACACACTCTGCAGCCCACAAAGATATACATCAATTATATGTACACTGGAAATCATAATGAAAAATTGTTAAAGTTATCTCGAATAATAATAATAATAGTGTAGCTACTATATCTACTCAGTATTGTTATTTTTTGTAAAATAGTAGGGACAGAGAAAAATACATCCTGAAACTGCAGAATCAGTTTTGGTTACCTGGTCTGGGATGCAATGCTGGAGAAGCTGCCCCTCCCCAGCACTGGCTTTTTGTACGCTCCTTTCTCACACTCACCTCAAAATTGACATGGCCATTCGGAAGGCGGTTGGCACAGCCCTCATTGAGGAAATAAATATCTTTGATTAAGAGACTGAAGAACGGTATCACAATCTAGAGGGAAAAAAAAAGATTCTGGTTTGTCAGGGCAGATATTCAGGCTTTCATCAAGTACAAGAGATTAATGAACAATATGAATTTGGGATTACGTGAAAGACCACAATGTATTAAGGCAGTGTTTTTGTTTTTGCTTTGTTTTTGGTGGTTTTATACCTTACATACTAGTGGTTTCCTCTCTTACAGAATTTTGTTTAAGATGCAAATGCTGGGGCCAGCAGGTGGTAGAGTAGTTAAGGCGCTAAACTTCTATATGGCCAACTGCAGTTCAAGTCCCAGACCTGGCACCTTGAAAGTCACGGCAGGTATATTTGCGTGCAAGCCCCAAATCCCAAAAGTAGAAGGGATTGTGGCACAGCCTTCTCCCCCCGGGGGGTGGGGGAGGCGCTAGTGGTGGTGGTGACTGCTCACTCTCTCTCTCTTCCCCCTCGGTGAGCACACATACCCTAGGACAAGGAAAAAAAAAAAAAACCTTTAACACTACTTTTTTTCTAAAAAATATTCAATCATTTCAGCCTTCAAGTCATGAAAGAAAAAAAAAAGAGAAGAAAGAAATGCCAATACTATTAATGGCCAAAACAGCAAGGACAATGGTGCTGGCAAATGGATAAGTTTGTGCTTTTTCTACAGCTTTTCATATTTTTCTCAAAGCAATAGCACACAGTAAAATCTGAAAATTCTAGCTATACTGAGACAAAAAAAAATTAAAAGAACTCTTTATTTTTACTTAGCAATGCCTGAGTTACAGCCAAATGTTCACAGGATACCTACTGCTGCAGGTGCCAGGAGTTTAAGATGCATGACCCATCTCCCTGTTGGGATTCATATGGCTATGTCATTTAGATGTCTACATTTCAGATGGACTTTTTTTTTTGAGAAGTTTTTGCTATAGGGAATGTGCGCTCACCAGAAAGACAGAGAAAGATGGAGAGGCAGAAAGTGAAAAATCACCCCCCCAGGGAGGATGGCCACGCCGCAATCCCTTGTCCTCCATTCTCCTCTCAGGATCTTGGGCATGCACGCACACGCGCCCAGCGTGAGTTCAAGCCACTGGGCCTAGAATTTAAACCATGATTGGCCCTGTGGGAGTCTAACACTTGAACCACCACACTACCTCTGGTCCTCCTTTCCAAATATTCTTAATCCAAACACTCAGTAACTAAACCTGAAAGGTATTATCAATTCTGCACCTAGAAGTAGATGCTAATGAGCAGGAACAAGTTCATAGGAACAGAACAGGAATGACAAAAGGATTTAGAACTATGTAATTGTATGAAGAATGGTTAAAAACCTAGAGACACACATACTCTCAGAAAGAATAGCAATTTAAAGAACATTTAAGGGCTCCTGTGTAGAAGACAGATCTGATTTGTAAAATAATAGGTACCTACAAATGTGCCATTTGGCCACATAAACTTGAGATTTGAAAGCATATCAAAAATTCTATTACTCAAGTTATGTCGCTAGAAGACTGTGAAACAGGAAATTACTTTGGAAAAAAGAAAGTCTCCCCTCACCACAAGAGAGGAAAATGAATCCCCATTTTCTTAAATAAAAGATGAATTTAACAAGAAATGTTTTCATTCTTAGCCTTTGAGACCGATTGTGAAAAAGACATGGCATGTTTTTTAAATGATAGTGATTTCATTTGTTTCTACAGAGTATAATGCTCACACAAAACTGGTTTTTTAAAACGACAATGAAATGAAAGCAGACAATTTATTAAATGGCGTAAATACTGGGGGCTTCTTTTGGAGAAAGCAGTTGAGAGTGCCTCAGCTGAGATCTTTCTCGGGAGTCAGACTTCGGAATTACTCTGGCCGACGACACAGCTCTGCTAACAAACGTGATTCCGCAGCTTCTCACAGAGGCATGTGCACCAAGCTCTCACTGAGGACCGGGAGGAGAAAGCCTGGCACCCACGAGAGAGGTGACCCAGGCCATGGACAACCTCCAATGTCTCCCCGTGCTTCAGGGAGCTGGGCTCCTGCTGTGTTTACACTGATTTTCTGAAGCTTATCAAACCTCAGGTTAGATTTGTTCTAAAGCTAGTCATGGGAGTATTGGGATTTGAACAAGCAGAATTATTTTTTTAATTATTTGTTTTATTTATTTGTTTGTTTGTTTATTTAAATTTGACCAGAGAGAGACAGGGAGAGAGAGAGGAGGTGAGAAAGCAAGCCATCAGGTCCAGGACTTAAACTGACATTGGCCATGTGGAAGTCTAGTGCCTTAACCCCCAGGCCACCTGCCGACCCAGAGCAAACAAAATTCAAAAACCGATAAACTCATTAGGATATAGTGAGACCGCTTCTGCTTCATCCCCTCTCTGACTTTGTAAGCTTCATTATTTAAAAAATAATAATAATTACAGTATCTCCCAAACATCATCAGAACCAATATTTTAGATTTCACTGAGAATCCACTTAGTATTTTTTAAAGGTGGGGTTTTATATTTATTTTAGATCACTGAGGCTGAGGCTTTTTGGCGGGGGTGATTAAGAGGCCATGAAATGGTTTTACTCCCATTTTCTTTCATTTGTTGAAGATACAGTTTAAGTTAAAAGATGGACAGAATGTCAAAAGAAAATCACTTCCATCAAGCACCCTTCCTAGCCCATTTAGCATCATCAGTATTTCCTTCTCAAACAACATGATAGCCAAATGTGGAAACAAGTGTATTTCCTTACAAAGAAAACACAGCACCAAAATACGTCAAGAAAGGACCCTCAGTCAAGAGTATGGCAGACTCAGGATGGTATTAACTTGTTTAAGACTAGGTAGGGAGAATAAGGGTCATTAATTTCTCAGACATCACCCCTGAACTTTTTCTGCCACCCGCATATCCAATTAGTAACAGCAGGCTTAGTGCTATAGCAACTAACCTACTTTCTGAAAATAAATGACTTAACTGTGGGAGGAAAGCTAATTCTTTTAAGGCAAAAGGTTACATTGAGTCAGCTACCTCGTGCAGCGCTTAAATGTCTACCTTCCATTAAACCAAATTACTCTCTAATGCTTTTCGTCATCCGAACATTTGACTTAATTTGCTGCTTGAAATACAACTAGGACACAGCACAGAATAATCATGTAACTCATATAATAACTCAGTAATAGGCGTTTGCAAAGTTCTGCACCAAGTCACCTTTCCTTTCTACAGGTTGACTCTCCTTTAGCATTCTCCTTCCTTATGTGGCAGGGGTTAACATTCTACAGTAGGCACCCCTCTCTCTAAGGTGTGCACGGGTCAAAGAAGCTCCACGCATCATAGGAGCTCACAGCTCATCATAGTAGCAGTCCCGTGTAAGATATGACAACTCTACCAAGAACAACACACTCTAAGGACGTACCTTCTCTCTGCTACTGTGGGCAGTTAAAGACCTTTGTGCTGCTCCCCGAAGAGCTGTTCGATAATTATAGAAATTGCTTGAAGGATCCATCTGATGCTATAAATAAAAGAGAGAAGAATATTTCCTTACTTCTCACCTGCAGGAAGTTAACAAAATCGTACATTTAACTATACATAAAAATTCAAAATAAGCTAGAGAACTCACGAGGAATATGATGAATGCAAAACACAAATGCTTCACATCAAAACATAAATGTTTTCTTTCCTGAGATTTGGGTTAGTTATGCAAGTTGATGTCAACTCTGATAACCTTCAACCTAGATCAAATTATTTCTAGTCTAATCATTGAGATGAGACCTAAAACTGGTAACACAAAGCTAAATCCCAGCATTAAAAAAATGTTCTTGTTTCATCTGAAGGCCAGTGGGCCAGCTGATGACTAGCTAAGAATAGTGAGCCAACACTTTTTAGTATTCGGTTGTCTGAAAAGTCATGATGCATTTTTTCATAGAAAAATAGTGGCATGACTTTCCTGACAACCCAATAAATTTGTGTTGTTTTGCATTTGGTAAAAAAATCAAAATCGTTCACAAATAATCGAAGCAAACCATTTTGCAAGAAAGAAAAGACATTTACTACATCGTGTGAATAAAGCATTACATAATACTTCTATGATAACTCCCAATTTGGGGAAAATCTTGGGAAAGAACACTTTCTTATTATCTCCATGGACAGGAGACTCAAAGCAACAAGACACCGAGGTACTATGGAGAGGAACGTGATTCGAACACATATCCCCTTGTGCCATCTGTTTCTCCTCTCAGAATTCTACGAGAAGGACTTCTTCACAGGTTGGCTACACTTGCTGACAGGACAGGGCATGGGTATTTCCGTGGGGATGAGGGATTCCTCCCTGGGACAGTGCTGACAAACGGAGCTAGTAGGCACGGTGAAGTGGAACTCTCCACTGTGCAGAACTCAAATTCTCTTCTGGCCAATGATGGGCTAGGACTGCTGAGTCACGTTTCTCCAGCCATTTAATCCCCAGATGGACACCTCTATCTGTAAAAGGACCAGTCCACAACCTGATTCATTTCCTCGTCCTCTAATTCCAATCCCTTTCTTTTCCCTGAGTCTATCAGCATAGATGGGTTTCTTCCTCTGTGCTCTCTGATCAAGAGACAGGATCACAGAGAGGATTTCCACTTTCCAGGTGTAAGAATGCTACTTCGCAGCAAAGCGTCAGCTTCACATACCTCAAGAACGTCAAACTTCGCAGTCTTCACTTTGGCCCAAGTTTTCTTTAGTCGCGAGACTGGGCTCATATTCATGCCAGCTTCCCATGTAGAATGGAGGTGCAGGGGGGGAAAAAAAAATAGAAATAGAGGAAGAAAAAAAGCCATTTTAACTTAATGCTCTTAAAAAGTACTCATTACTAAGTTTGAGTTCCATGAGCTATCAGTAGCTAATCAATTTCAGTTTTACAACTTTTTCTGGCAAGTTCTAAGCCCAGAAACAACATAATTGCTACCATTTACTTCGAGTGGAGATGAGCACATTTTTTCTGTAAAGGAAAAGATTTTAGGCTTTGCAGGCCACATGATCTGTGTTATAACTGCACAGCACTCTGTGGTACAGAGCAGTTATAGATAACTACACAAACAAAAATGGCTCTGTGCCAGTAAAACTATTTATGGGGGTCAGCAGGTGGTGTGGTGTTTACAGCACTGGACTCCTACATGGCTGACCATGGTTCGAGTCCTGGACCTGGGGGCTTACTTTCTCACTCCTCCCCCCATCTCTTTCTGGTCAAATTAACAATAATGATAATGAATAAAATAAAATAATTATTAAAAAACCTTTATTTATGAATACTGAAATTCGAATTTATATTGTGTTTACCTGTCTCCATTTGATTGTTTTCAATCATTTATAAATATAAAAACTATTCTTAGCTCACCAGCCATAAAGAAACTATCAGGGAGCGGGGGGGTCAGATATGGTCGATAGTTGTAGTTTCCTGACCCTTGACCTAGAGCCTAACATATCATCCACACTTTACCTGTATTATTCTATACATCCCTTTGATATTTCTATAGTAAGCTGAGTTCCAGAGGTAAGAGATTTCCCCAAGGCCATCTAGTTAACAAGTCACAGAGATGGAGACTCATCCTGATCTGACTCCATAACCTACATGCATTCCATACCCTGCTGCCTGCCCTGAATGGTACCTCACATACGACAGCTACTGGAAAACCATTACAGTGGCTGTTCGTAGAGAGAAAGAGCTCACGCCAGCTTAAAGGAGAGCATATGTTCAATCCATGCCACCAACATTCACATTTTAAGGACCACAAGAAGATTCCTTTCTAATTGAGGCAAAAAATTACATATAGAAAAATACACAGATCTTAAATATACAATTGGGTGAATTGTCACAAATGTATATAGAAGTCCATGAACCATCACCCCAGCAAAGATCAATACAGAATACTCTAAACTTCCAGAAGCTCCCTTGGCCTCCCTTCCAATCAATCTCCAACCCCCAGAAAAGTCAGAACAGTGGTGGCCCATCACCACTGATAAGCTTTGTCTATTCTACAGCTCCATGTGACTGGAGTCATACTATGCGTATAACTGTTTGTGTTTGGCGTCTTCTGATCAACGTTATGGTTCTGAAATACATCCATGTTATTTATATGTATCAACTCTTCATTTCTATTGTTGATCAGCAGCTCACTGTATGAATATGTCACAATTTATTTAGCCATTCACTTGTAAATGAGCCTTTGGGTGGTTTCTAGTTTTGGACTATTATGAATAAAGCTGCTTACATGCATTCTTGTACAAATCTTTTTTGTGGGCATATATTTGCATTTTTATGGGTTAAATATTGGGTTATCAGAAAAGCCATGATGAACTTTTGCTTAGAAAAAAATACGTCATGACTTTTCTGACAACCCAACACATAGGTGTGTGGAATTTTGGGGTGAAAGAATAGGTATATGTTTAACTTAATGAGATTCCAGTTTTCATTAGTATTGCCATTTTATATTCCCACCAATAACGTGTAAGGGTTCTACTCGTCCCACATATCCTCAACAAAATTTGGTGTAAACAGTCTCTTTCATTTCAGTTATTCCAGCATGTGGAACAGTACTTTACTGTGATTTGACTTGTATTTCTTTGATGACTAATGACACGGAGCCTTGTTTCATACACTTATTATCCATCGGCATAACTTCTTTTGGAAAGGATCTGTTCAAGTCTTTGTCTTTTTATTGATTTGTAGGGTTCTTTATAAATTCTGATGCAAGTTCATTGTCAGGCTGTATGTATTACAAATATTTTCTCTCATGCTATGGCTTGCCTTGACATTTTCTGGATAGCGTAGGAGGGAAATTAAGTAATATTCTATTACTGAGACTATGGATCTTCCAGGTGCCTGATTCAGACCATCTTTTTGTTCACTATTTGCATGGAGTGAGTCAGATAAATAATGAGCCAAGACTTGGCCAGTAATTTTATGGTGGAGACAAATGGGAAATTATATGCCAATAAAATAGAAAAAAAAAAATTGGTGGAAGGAAGAATTTGCTAATACCAGGATTACTGAAGTAAGGGCCATGCAGTAGCCTAGCAGTTACCAACTGGACCCACATAAGAAGGTCCCCAGTTCATGTCTGAGGGCCTCTCTGGATGTGCTGGGTATGCAGGTATGAGCCTGTGGGCCAGTCTAGCTGAGGCTGGGGGTGGATCAGTGTGAAGACCCTGTCCAAAGTACCTGTCTGTCTGTCTCTCTCTGGATGTCTCTCACAGAAAAAATAAACAAAACTTTTAAAAAGTAGTAAAGATGATTAATTTAAATTTGGTGGGTCCTCTAGCTTCAAACTGACCCTGACTCTCTTCTTTATTCTTCTCTTCATCTGTTTACTGAGTACCTACAATATATAGGATGGGTCATATAACTTGTCATTTCATAAACTAGGACACTTGTAAATGAAATTATGGCAAGACAACAGGTATAAACTGAGATAATCAAGACATACTGTTACCACACACTCTATACAGTTAATAGGGAGAAGCATCGTCTCTGGTGTTTGAACTCTCATCACATATAGGAGCACGTCTGCACACTAGAGTAACAAGGTCTGCAGGTGCTAATACTAGGAGCATGGACAGTCAGAAAAGGTCCAGTTTCTCAGGAAAGGGAAACCTGTTGCCCACATGCTCATGGTGAAGAAATCATATGCTTAAGTCTCAGGTCGTGTATTTCTATAATGCTTGATACACAAGCTGCCCCAAAACTTCTCAAAACATTTTATTTAGACAAATACCTCACTTATAAGCTTTTATAGATGACTGTTTAAGCTGAGGATAATTTAATTAAGAACATTCCATAAATTCTTGCATATTTAAGGAGGATTACACATCCTCTCACCAATCTGGCTTTATTTAACATAGTCTGGACATTCCAAAATAACTCAGGATTAAAAAGTACAGTTTTCATGAACAAAGCAGCACTATTTGCAAATTTTCAGTGAATACGTTTCACAGGACCAGTAAAAATAAAGGACACATAACTTCCAGAAAATACTCACAGATTATCGCCATCAAGGAATTAAAGTTGCCAATGTTAAAACACTCCCGAGCTACATCAATGAAATACTCAATCATTCTTGCACGGTGTTTCTTCTTTACAGGCTATACAGAAGAAAGTGACAGAAGGTAGTTATCTAACACACAGGCTTGTCAGTTGTAAGTAAGTCTTAAAAAATAATATTGAAAACTAGGAGAGAGCAAATTCATTTTCTAACCATGCAGATTTCTGTAGCCACCAAGTAGCTGAGGCGATTAAACCATTCCACGTAAGCTTCTAAGTTGCGTGTTTTCTTCCGTTCACTGTAGCAACTCTGTAGAGAAAGCAAACAGAACTTGGTGGGAAAAAAAGAATGCATTAAGTTCTCATTTTGTCATATATGGGCATTTATTCTCTATATATGGATTAGAAAGGCTTTCTATTGGATTAGTGGGAAAGACATGATGCATTTTTGCAAAGAAAAACATGTCATGATTTTCTCAATGGCCTAATAAGATGAGAGAGAGAGAGAGAGAGAGAAATACTACATTCTTTTTTGAAGATTTATTTAATTTTATTTATTATTATTATTATTTTTAGTTTGTCATAGGGCAGAGAGAGAGAAAGAGACAGTGAGAAAGCAAGCTACCAGTCTGGGACTCGAACCATGGTTAGCCATATGGGAGTCCAGCACCTTAACCATCACACCACCTGCTGGCCCCAACCACTACATTCCTAATTACACTTAGAAATATCAAAATCTCTTAGTATAGTCCACTGAAAGCTATAAGGTCTAAAAATGCAGATACATTTATAAAAATGTCTTTCTTTTCCTTCCCAGAAAACTTACTCTGTGTGGGATTTGTCCTCAGAAAAACAACCCAAAAGGAAGAGAAACTAAGAAAGCAGAGGACTAGAAAATGTTCTCCTAAAATTAAGTTGTAGGATAAAATTTTAGAACACCATGTAGCAAGAAACGAAACAGCACCCAAAGAGGCTAAATGGAAGTCCGCGCCATCACAGTCTCTAGTGGGGTGAGTGACAATGTTCCAAAGCAAAAGATAGGAATCTCACCTTGGAGGTCAAGGCCAAGCTTGAAGAGGCTAATTACACCCCTCTTTCCTTCCTTCCAAAAGAAAGAAGCAAACAAAAAAAGTCCACTAGCCTTCTACTGCAAAACACAGGGTTCGCTTCCTGTACTGACAGAAACTATTCTGAGGCCGGAAAACAGCTGCTGCCCTTACTCCCAGCGGGAAGCTTTCACCAGTAGGTGACGCAGTCCTTGCCTACCGATTCAAAATGCTTCCAGAGGTCACTGGACAACGTTCTCATGTGTGTACACCCGTTTTCCAGCCCATCCCCAGTATCATCGGGAAGGATTTACCTTAACAAGAGGTGAGGCTGTCAAGGCCCTGAGTGGCAGCAGGCTGGGCGCCCTCTCTCTCCTGCCCCTGCGACTGCTGAATCATGAGGAGAGCATTCTCTTTTATTTTTCTTTCTGACTTAATCTGCTAAAACCATTACACTTTTATCTCCCACCTTCATCACCACAAATACCTGCATCTGCGTGCTGTCAAGGTCTTATTAAATTTCCCACTCAGGAGGAAAGGAAGGACTTAAAGTCAGTGATACAGCGAGAAAATTATAAAGGCACTTGGAGACCTGGCTCAAGGAGGACGGCAACGAATCAGACATGGCTAATGAAAATAATACCTCCTCGTTTTAAAACCTAAAACAGAACAGTTTCGACTTCTGTCTCTTACACCCACTATCACAGGCTGAGGAATTCCATTTCTGGTTTTGGGGCTGACCTCTGGGTCGATGGATTACCTTGTCATTGTCCAAAGGGTCCTTCTGCACGAATGCCTGAACAAATTCTTCTGGCCCAATATAATTGAGTCTCTCCTGAAACACAGATCCGGCAGGTCAACAATATAGAAGAAAATGGAAAAATAAATAAAATATAAAAATAGGCTATCAACTCCCTCTATTGACTTTTGGCATCAGCCCCAATTTTTAAGATGCAAATGATAAAGTAAGCCTTTGAGCCTAAATATATTCATCATCTTCAAGGTCTGAACAAAGGCAATTTTCCACAAGACAGAGAAAGAAGGAACAAGTTATGAAAAAAATTAAGAAGGTCAATAAACTCTCTGCTCTTCAACTTGTTCAGTATGTATTTACAAGGACTTCCCAGAATATCAGGAGCATTCATGTTCAAATCCCTAAATAAAGCAGTTCAGCTATTTCGTAGGTTATTTCCTATTTGGATTATTCTGACCTCTCCCGTGACATTACTGCTGATAAACGCACTGTCTGGTTGCCAAAGCAAAGCGAGTCTGTGGTTGTAAAGGGCAGGATGATAACAGCCTCACCAGCTCTATGTGAGTCAGCTGCTGGGCCAGCGTGTAAGGGTCACTGCAGACGGTGATGATGTCCCTCTGGATGGACTGGGGCTTGGTCTTGAGGACCGTGAGCCGGTCTGTAGAGGTGGAGCTGATTTTCGCCAGGACCTCCTCGTACTGGCTGAGTGCAGCAAGCTTGCGGATCAGACACTGCATCATCTGCTGAACGTTCTTCCGGTATGTCTGCTGGGGGATTGCAAAGGATCACATCCTGGCTCTGCATGCCTGTTACCACCTCTCTGCGGACTCAGAGACCCTGTCCTGAAATGCTTTTTCCCTTGATGTCGGAGAATCAACCTGCTGTAGGGCAGGTACAGGAAGAACCAGCCCCTCTCCAACGGCTTAATAGACACATACATATATCTTTTCAGGCCTGTAAGATTTCATCATTTTCTGAGGCTGGTATTGACAGGATAATTCAAGTTGGGTCATGAGAAAACCACAATGACACACTTTAGATGAGCTGTTTTAGGATCCGGTGTAATGAGTACTACAATAACTGAATGTTTTCTGTCCTGGCGGAGAAAAATACCCATTTATTTGTAGTGGGTTAAAATCCATCAATTTCAGACTGTCCCCACAGCCTAGTGGCTAAGGGACCTAGATCCCAATGAGCTACTGCAATTCAAATCTCAGCCCTGATGGTTTAAAAAACATGCCAGGCACATGTGTAGGTGCGCCTCAAATCCTGACAGAACAGAGAAATAAAGACGACGTGGTTCTGTGACTACACCCCACTGAGGGGGTGCTTCTTCCTCTCCCACCCCTCACTGAGGAGTGCTTTCTCCCTCTCTATGTATCTGTCCCGCTCTGGCAAGGGCATGTGCCCTCTGACAATCACAAGAACAGTAAAAATAGAACACTAATCTCAAGTGGCAGCATCCTTTCCCTCACACTTTTCCTTCAGAGCCACGTCCTTCATCTCCATTTCTATTCTTCTCAGTCTCATCAGTCTAAGGACACAGACAGCGACCTGACAAATACACGGTTACTATCCCGCCCCCTCCAGTCACCTCCCAGCTTCCACGCTGAATGTGGAGTGGGTAGTCCTTTCTGCTGTCTGACCTCCACATGCATTCAAAAGTCGGTCTGATGTCCCCCAAACTCTCCCACGGGGCCGAATCTCCCCACAGAGTAACCAGCAGACGCCGCCTGTTCACTTTGTTACTCCACCACTACACCACTTACGGGAAACTGGTTTAAAAAGTGTTGCAGGTATTATGGTAAGGATCAATCTTTTTTTTTTTTTTGGAGAGGTTTTTGCTATAGGGCGTGTGCGCTCGCCAGACAGAGAGACAGAAGGCAAGAAATCACCCCCCCGCTCCAGGGGGCATGGCCACGCCGCAATCCCTTCTCCATTCTCCTCTTGGGATCTTGGGCACGCACACACATGCCCAGCATGAGTTTCAAGCTACCAGGTCCGGAACGCGAACTGCGGTCAACTACATGGGAATCCAGCGACATAGCCGTTGCGCCAACTGCTGGTCCCAAGGATCAATCTCTTGACTCTTAAGTCCAAGAAACGACTTCACAAGCAATCTAGGGTACAGTTACCGCGAGGTACGCAGTTCTTTCAGTCTTCCTTTTCTGGCCAAAACCAACCAAACAATTATCCTTTCAGTTAAATCATGATGTTAGCACATCTGGTGAACGATTTTTATTCTATACTTTTGAAAAATGAATTTTCGGGCCAACTAGTGGTAGAGTGGTTAAGGCACTGATTCCCATATAGCTGACTATGCAGTTCAAGTCCCAGATCCAGCAGCTTGAAAAACCTGGCAAGTGTATGTGTGCATGCCCCAAATTCCAAAAGAATGGAGAGAGAGAGGAGAAGGGATTGTGGTGTGACCATCCCCAATGGAGGGTGCTTTTCCGTTTTCTCTCTTTGTCTCTGGCCAACACATGCACACTCTGGCATAAAAAAAAAATAAAAAATAAAAAAGAGAGAAATAAGTTTATTGAAGGAAAGAGAAATAAGTTTATAGACAAGAGCTAGAAAAAAAGTAGTGTCAGGTTGTTAATGAGCAGAAAGCAGCAGCAAAATATGAAAAAAAAAAAGTACAAATAGTGAGTAAAGGAAAAGCTACTCAAATAGCAACTAGCACTCAACTAGCACGAAGGCCTGTGAGAGAAAGAGCTCTTTGAAAAGTTCCCTGCTGCCACTTGATTCCATTGGAGAAATCAAGCTATTTGTTGGGAAGCATACCTCCTCACTGAGTCATGAATTGCTAAATATGTACTTATTCTTTTTTATAACTTCAAATGCCAGTGACAGTAATTACCTGGCAAATAAAGACAGAAATTCTTATTAGAAAGACCAGCCCCTTAAGGAAGAGAAAATTGCATTCTACCCACTATAGTCATTTGTCATGTAATTCAATCATTAGTTTCATTTCATGTTTCTTCCAGGCAAGTCCTAATAAACCACTTCATTTTGGGCAAATCCCCAGGGGGAGATGTATTAAGCCAAATTATGCGGAACTGTCCTAGCAGAATCAGAAGAACCTGACTAAATTATACATAGGGCACACCTGGACCCACTGACTGCCAAAAAACGTCTAAAATCCTAAGCAAGAAGTAACAAGTCCCAACCGAAGCCCAC